TATTCAAGATTTTGCAGAGAAAGGGGAGACCTCCCAACCTTCGCACTGTATAATATATTGGCCAAAAAAATGAAATTATTTTGACTATTCGATTACTTTTCCTTTATTTAAGCCCTTCCGAATATTATTCCTTAGAAAGATAATCTGTGTTAAAACACAGCCATTTTTGGAAGTTTACTATACTTCAGCAGTTACTGCAACTATGTTATTATAAACATTCATACATATGCTCATAATATAAGCATAACGATCATAATAAACACGAATAAGAACTGACAAGCAGAACGAGAATGCGAATTTTTAAGATTTTGATAGAAATTCAAACGTGTGTAGTATTTGGATGGGAGGAAAAAAAGAATGCTGAATGTAGCGGTATTTTCTACTGCTTTCGCAATTCTTTGACCAATAGAATGACGGGCACCTGTCTGTACTCTTCGTGCACACCAAAGGTTATGTTAATGCAGAGAAAGGGGGAAAATATATTTCCGGGAGTATGACTCACCATCTGACATTCCATATTTGGAAGAAAAGTTTTTATTTAGACATATAAGGCAAAAATAGCACTAAAAACAAAAAAGGACTACACCTATAAGATATTTTATTTTCCCTGTTTAATACTCACAGTCTTGTTGGATGGTACACCAAATGTGGGTGGAATTTCATCCATATTTCCTATTTGACCGAGCTCAAAAGAAGTTTTCTTGCATACATTTATAACAAACCTATGAAATGCTAATATTTTTTCTTCATAATCTGCTGGCATTTTCTGTCCAATAGTTGTTTTTGTGTGCAATGATAAGCCTTGCCTTTTCATGACATGAACCTGTAGCACCAGCCCTCAGACCCCGAAAAGTTCCGCCCACGTTTTTCTGCAAATCCTTTGGTCTCATCGATTATCATTTTGGCTGAAACACTTATACCAGATTTCCTCTTATCTATCACTCACATTTTTACGGCATTTTCAAGTTCAGGCCAAGATGAAGCTAGGCATTGAAGATTATGTTTTTGTTTTTTAGCAGTCTTCAGTTGATTTTCCTGCAGTCGCCAAGAAGTATAATTTTTTCGGTAGGTGGTGGACCGAAATACTTTGCTGCTGCTTTGTTTCCATGCACTTAGTTTAACACTCCTAGTCTATACTGAATTGTATAGCTTAATATCTTGTTTCCTGTGGTTCATATTTTCCAGGGTATTTTTATTTAAACAAATAGTTTTAAGCACCGATACCAACACGTTTATACAGAATAGCACCGATACGGACACGTGTGTCGGCTGAGTCAAAGAAAGTCTATGTAAAGAAGGAAAGGCTCCATAGACTTAATGTGACCGTCGAACCTGTTTGAACTTCGACATCAGCTTCGAGCTTTGGCGCATGCGCAAAATAATTATGGCAGATATAGAAAAAGTTATGTGTGTCTAGACCTTTATCCAGGCTAAAAATAGCATTCAGTATTGAAAGTTAACCTGTGTCCTTCACGTATAAGATGCAGGTAACATTTTTGAGACCAAATTTAGGGAAAAAAGTGCTTCTTATATGCCGTCAAATACGGTAGATGTTCAGTTTATCAAGCGATTTTGTGATTATTCAAAAGAGTTCCAGTTATCTACTATGCCATACAGTCAAACCATCTTCTATCACCTCCACTCCAACCATGACAGAATTGGTTTCTTCATTGCCTAATCCTAAATACTATCATATATATATATAGGTTAAATATTTATCCCCTCTCCGAAAATATTCTTACATTTTGGACATATCTATAGCTGCAAGGTTTTAGTTATCTAATTAATATGATAAAAATCGCATTTTACTTTTTAAAGGAATTAAAATTTAATAAATACAAATTAAAAAAAAAAATACCAGATTCTACAGCAGAGATATCTCTCTCTCTTTTTTTTTTTTTTTTTTTCTCCATCCATCCGTTTTAAAAGAATGGTTTTCTTCATCAACTCCTTACATTTTACAAATAATTTTACATAAATAACTTAAAGATAGCAATTACACTACGAATACGAACAAAAAATTTGGAAAAAAAAAAAAAGAGAAAAAATAATTTATTAGATTAGTGTCTATTTTTTGCATTATTACTAATTTTAATTTGACAAATGAAAACAAATTGAAGGAAAAAAATACATTCTGCACAAATATTTGATTTTAATTATTATGATGGCTGCACTTGATGTATTGATGCAATTTTTTTAATATTTGGAATAAAACTGTTTTAATTCCTAAATCACCTTGTTAAGAATTGTTCAGCCTGTTTCTGGTTTTTCATTCCAGACTTAGTTTTTTTTTTTTTTTTTTTTTTTTTTTTTATATTGTGCTTATTGCATAAAAAATTATTACTAATTTTAAAATATGCTATATACGTTTAGCAAATTTTCCACTTATTTTTATTTGATAAGATTTCTTTTTACTACGAATTACAGCTTAATATCAGTAATAATTATTTATCAATTTGATTAATAATTTTTTGTACTCAATGGGATCTTGATTATGCAGATCAACTGCCAGTGCATATTCGGCTAATGACCTCTTAATCACCATTGTCCCCCTTTTAAATTTCACTGATCCTATTGGAAACTGTTCTTTGAACGAATGGATTATTTCAAGTCAATATGCAGGAGCTGTAAAGATACTGAAATAAGATTCTGACTTTCAGTTCTTTAGAATGATGCAATGGCTGTTTAATTGATTCAGGCAAAGCATGGGAAATTTATCTGTCTAAGGGAAAGGTCTTTCAGGGAAAATGGGTAATATTTACACAGACAAAATCTCATACACTACCTATGATCACTAGTCTCCCTTTTTTGGCCACTGGTAGACAGCACCCATGCAATGAAATTGTTAATAGTAAGAGATTTGGCATTTCTTATTTTAGTACATTTAGGAAACGTTTTTATATAAATTTCTGATTAAGCTTTACAAAACAAGGCACAGCATGAAAACCCTTTATAAAGTCTTCCAGTCACTATAATTACAGAGTGGCCAAAATTAAAACAGCTACAAAAAGAGTTTTCAGAAATTTGAGAAATCATTCTCTGAACAGTAAAGATATCATTCCAAGACAGTTTTAAGTTTGGCAACCTTGTATTTAATGTTTATACACATTATAAAAATTTTGACTTCCATACAACAAAAACTGATAAATATACCTAATTTCAAAACTAGGAATTAATAACATCTTTTCCAATTTTCCGCAAGTTCAGTTAAAATATAAAGTAGAATTACTTAAAATTGATTTTTTTCTCTTTAAATTCAGTAATTTCATTAGTAATTAAGTAAAATGTAATGTTCTTCAATGTAGAATTTAACTGCAGTCACTTCATTGTGATATTGGTAGTTTTTAATTAAAAAAATAGAAACTAGCTAGCAGTTGCATTGTATAGAACTGCCAAGGTCAATAATTTCGATAACATACATTTTTATGTCTAAAATGGGAGACAATATAAAAGGGATTTCAAACTCTGTAAAATCATTAATAGCAACAAGCAGCAATGCTTCCATGCACAGGCTTATGAAATTAGGAAAACAAAATTTGGGTGACCCTTTTTTTTATTTAACTTTAGTGTACAATAGATACAGAAATTTAACTACATGATTTTTTAATATATAAATTGGATAAAGAAAACATACATATATAAATATCCTGAGCATAAAAATAATCTCTGGATAATACAAGGATGAATCAAATATGAACAAACCACTGCCCTTTTTTGACAGAATTTCTGTTAAAGGAAAGATCTACATTCCTATTAATTATTTTTCTTAACAGTCTCTCCCCCCCTTTTTTTTTTACATATTTTTACTCTTCTAGTAGCTTTTTAAGTTCACAGAATCAAGATCAGTGAGTTTTCTAACAACTGCACATGTATGTTTCCACTTGATTGTTGGTCTAAAAATCATTCACTCCAAAGTACTTTGAAGGGTTCAAATATGAAAATTCAGTCCCAAAAAAGCTTCCCTTTCTGTTTCAAAATTAGTTTGGAGCAAATGAGAAATGCAAACTCACAAAGCCGTTTAATCTTCAATCAGCAGCTTTGATCGTATTCAGAAAGAATGAGCTTGATCTGCAACACAATTTACAGCTTTGCTTGAATTCACTGCAGCAAGCTTTCACTGATCACGGAAAGGTAACTTCCTGAACTAGGCCTGCAACTGGAACAAATTTCACCTACTTTGCCATTTTCATTGATGAGGAATTTTATAATCATATATTGCCCAAGACTGTGATACTCTTCTCCATCATCAGATTTACTAAACGAAGTTATGGAACAAGCCGGCTGATCTGGTTCACTTATTCTAGGCAACCCAACCTAAACAAATCACATACAAATATTCTTCTTGATGCTCAGCCAATAGAGGATAATTCATATTTAATGGTCTTACACACAGAAATTGCATTGAAACTCAAATCTAATATAAAATCTCCACCTTTTTAGTTACTTCTCCCTTTTTTGTACTAGTATGCAACTTTCATAAAGAAAACAATTACATGATATAGTAGAAAGAAACCCTCTTTTCTGTTTTTTAATTAAAAACTATTATATTATTTTAATATGGCAAAGTACACAAGAGCTGTCTGCCTAATGCAAGGGTTGCTTTTGTGGAGGACATTTTAAGAGAAACTGGCTTGTACTCATTCTAGACCATTTAAAAAAAAAAAAGAAGAAGAAAGGGGAGACCACAAACCCACATCCAAAATAAATAGAAAAATTAGGTAACCACAACCTGTTTGCTTTGTAAACGAAAACTGTATAAAATTCATTTTGTAAATGAAAAAAAAAAAAAAAATAGTACACCTATTGCTATTTTCTCTTGTTAAGCCAAAAAGAAGTCTACCTAAAGATACCTGCTACATCTCCCTTCACCTCCAAAAATCTAGATTTTGCTTTCAGGCCTTTCTTAAAAAAATTAACCCAAATAGTTACTTTCATTATGAATTTAAAATTTCTATTTTCTTCCATTAAAAAAACTTATAAAAATTACTTATATGATATACCTGAATAGGGGCTGGTCTTAAGGCAAATATTTCATTTCTGGCTCCTTTAGTGTAACCATTCATATTAACTAATATGTGAATACCATCAGCAAAAATATGATCTGCAGCTTTACCATTACAAGGAATCTGAAAAATACAATCAAAAATTATTTCAAGAGAAGATACCTATCAGATTTTCAGAAACACACATATGTACATGTGATATTTTCCAGCAGTCGTGACGAAGCTTGGCATTGTGATGGCTGAGTGGTAAGGCTGAATCCAAAGGACGACACATGATTTAGCTTTCAATTATACATTTTTATTACATTCAAATGGCAGAATATATATTTTACATCTTCCTCCCTCAAAACGAGAGGCCGGGCGAGCAAAGCATTAGTACATAAGTGAAGCCAGAAGTTTGGGAAAGAATTATAAAATTTTGAATAGAAAATATTTAAAATTTTCTTTTCATATAAAACTTAGAACAGATACATATTAGAACATACAAACTTAGAACAGATACAATTTATCCACAAGGTACTACGTGCATTCATTCTTTTCATCATAAGTAATGAACAATATATTGACATATTCTAAAGTAATTTAAAAATTCAATACAAAACATTATAATATAATACCTTAAGAAACCAATTCAATATAAATAATGATACAATACAATAAGACCTTAACACTTTGAATCAAAATTTTTGCCATGTCCTCGCCAACAGATCAGCATGACTTAACTTGCTGATGGTTGGGGGGTGCTAGGTACAAACTATCAAAAAACCTCCGTTGCCTAATAAAAGGTAACTGGTTTTGGGCATTGTACATTGTATCAAAGTGTTTTTGTAAAAATACAAAATCCTATATAATTAAAATTTTAAGACAAATAACTAGTATAATCAAGTTAGAGTCTTTTTTAGAAATTTAGAAACTAGAAATTAATATTACCTTACAACACAAAGAAAGAAAGAAAACAAATTGTTACAAAATAATCTAAATTTATATGAAAAATATGTATTTGTGTGTGGTAGCACTTCTGTGCTAAACTATGGTCAGAGGATCGTGGTCGATATGAAAAAGTATACAAACACCCAAGCCAGTTTCATGAACATAGCTGACTCAAAATTACGTGAAGAATACAAAAGGTCAAAATCAGGAAACTAATTTGTCATAGTTAGGGTTTAAGTCTAAATCAGGTATTAAAAGTCATAATCAGGAAAGAAATTTGAAAAATTAAAATTAAATTAATTTTGAACAGAGATAGGAATTTTACTATTTGTAACAGTTAATTTAAATTCACTTGCTGGATTAAAAGGCCTTAGTCTAGTTGAATGAACAATTTCTGATTTCTTTTGGTCTATCAATTTCAAAAGTAACGTCACAATATTGTTTTAGAATTGTGCAAGGTCCTGCAAATGGAGGAAAAGGTTCACGTGTATTAGGATATTGAAATTCTTCTATTAGAATATTGAAATTGAAATACGTACATAACTAAATCACCTATTTTAAAATTACTAGGTTTATAATGAGTATCATATCTTTCTTTATTAACATTATGATAATCATCAGATCTTTTTTGAGCTGATGTGCAAGATAAAAAATATCAAAACAAACTTCTAAATTTAATTCGCTATAACCTCTTTTATTTTCTATTTCATTTGGAAACTTGATCTATCCGTCCTAAAAATAGTGCTTTAGTCTAAACTGCATCAATCAAATTAATCATGCGATGTTACGCAACCTTTAATGCAGATGCCTCTTGACCAATCATCTAATTGTAAGCCAAAACTTAAAACTGAAACTTTTGCCTCCCCCCTTCTTCCTCTGTATTGCTACTGCGACACTCGCTCTTCTTCTGGTTTATGCTTTCATCCTGTTAAGACACTTTCGCCTCAGCTTTTCCTGGCCAGACGCCTTATAGCTACCTTCTTTGTTCAAGGAACATATGCTGATGAAACAAAAATGGAGAACGCACAAGACGCTCATCCATATGTGAACCAAATATTGCAAATCCCGACTTGCTTTTCTTCAATAATAAAGTTATCTTGAATCCGGACATGTCTGCCACGTTTGTTCGCTGCTCATCTATTATGGCATCGCCAAGCTCAAAATCATTCATTTTATATACCTGCTGCTTAGAACTTCATTGGGAAAAGTATTTGCAAGTTCACCGTTCTTAAAGTTAGATATCGAGTATTCAAATATGGTGCTTACTTCATTTTGCAAATTCTTCAAAAAAACTGCATGGAACTAACTTCCAATGCAGTGCTTCCAAAATCTGTGTTTTCATTATATATATATATATATATATGTAAGATAAAATTATATGAATCAGAATAACTAAAAACATTAATTCTTCCTCTTTATTCTAAAATCGTAATAACTTTTTTGCATTGCGTCATTTCTAGATCACTCTATGATCGGCGCAACTCTGATGACGTAATAATTAAGAACTGAAACTGTCGTTGTAAACCAAAACTTTTCTCTTCACGTGCTTCCATCCTTCATAACTACGCACTTCAGCTTTGCTCTTTACTCTGCTAAGATGTAATTTCGCTGGCTTGCTTTCTATCTTAACAATATATAAAAATGTAAATCTTCTGTGGAAAGGCACGACTAGAGTGCCAAGTGATTGTGGCCACAAATATCAATTGGAAATAAAAATGGAATTAAAACTGTCTCGACTGCCAAGTTTTATTTACGAAGTCAACACGTTAGCTTACGACGCAATCAGATTACTTCTTCTTCAATATAGGATAACTACGCATCGACACTGCTCCGTCATTTCCTTTGCTTTATTATGGCAATTAAGCCGGTAAGGATAGTTTCCTGCAGCCTGAAACCTCAATGGACAATTTAGTTCAGCTCTTCAAATCATCGTTTTGTGATAAATCCAAGATAATGTGAAAGAAGTGAATCATCAAATTTGTTTTTTTCAGTGTTTAAAAAATAACAGATCATTCTTCTGCTGTCGTGTTTTGCAAGTGCTTCAAAAAAATAATCACGCGTAGTGTTTACAGATTGAAAGCAATCACTCGATAAATTGAGAAGTTCGAATGCTAGTGAAAAGGAAATCATCAGTGAATTACCGTTTAGGAATTAAGCATTACAGTGGGTTCAAGGTCGATCTGAGTTTAGTGTTTGCAAGTATGTGCGACAGAAAATTATTTGCGCTTCTGCTTTTTCAACAGCTCAAAAATTGTTACATTCGTGTGAATCTAACTCGGGAACTAAATCATTTAATATGCTGAGGATTCTATAGTTTTCCTCTCAACTTTGGTTAAAATTTTCTGCAATTTGTTTTGAGAAAATCTGAAATTCTTGTTCATTAATTTTTCTAATTTTTCATAATAATGCGTGAGCAAATTTAATTTTTCATAATTATGCGTGAGCAAATTAAGTAACGAATTTTAAGCTATTTAAATTATTCATAGGGAAGGATATTAAGATAAGTTTTTGAAATTTTGTTGAGAATTTTGAATACGAATTTTATAATTATTCTAAAAATGAAGTAGGTGTAAAAAATAAGTGAAATTAGTACAGATAAGTAATATGAAATTATGGTAAATGCATGTTAAAATTTATGGGTTATTGTATGTTAAGTATAGTATGATGAGGGTGTACTGGTGCCTTCAACAGAGGCTTGTAATTAATTACTCTGTACAGTTGTTCCTTTTACCTCTTCATGCAAGATAATGTTGGAGGCTCTCATTTTATGAATGCATGTAAAATTTTTATATTATTATTATTATTATATTTTTTATTAGGGAATGTATTAGTGCAGTTCTCAAAGGCCAGTTACCTTAATGCAAGGAACGGAGGCCTTTTCAAGTAACTGTCTACGCACCCTGGGCCACCAGTGCATAGAACACACTGGTTAGCTCAAGAGGACAGCCCTTTTGATGGATATGTTTGCTTAGAAATATTGCGAGGCTTCCAGTTTGGTAAAATACAGGAATTGTAAATGAAAGATGATAACGGTGAAACCATAAATTCTGAAAGTCTTAATCCTATTATTTATCATGTTAAATTATAATTTATCAATATAGAAATAAGTATCATAAATATTTATGTGCATTACATTAAATTATAAGTAATGATTATGTAAAAGTTTATTTTGTGATATTCTGCGATAACAAGAACCTTCCATGAAGAATTATGATTATGTGAACTCTCAAACAAAAGACTTTTGGACTGAAATGTTGAAAAATTCTCTCTAATGGACTCTAAAAATTAAGAATTTATTAAAAAAATTGATATTTATAAATAATACTTTACAGGATCAAAATTTTATTATTTATTATATTTTTTTTTTTTAATTTGCTAGTTTTTTTAACTCTTTCTCTTTAAAAAGGCTTCTCTGTCGCTACGCCTTTTTCTTTTTGAAGGGGGGAATATGTAAGATAAAATTATATGAATCAGAATAACTAAAAACATTAATTCTTCCTCTTTATTCTAAAATCGTAATAACTTCTTTGCATTGCGTCATTTCTAGATCACTCTATGATCGGCGCAACTCTGATGACGTAATAATTAAGAACTGAAACTGTCGTTGTAAACCAAAACTTTTCTCTTCACGTGCTTCCATCCTTCATAACTACGCACTTCAGCTTTGCTCTTTACTCTGCTAAGATGTAATTTCGCTGGCTTGCTTTCTATCTTAACAATATATAAAAATTTAAATCTTCTGTGGAAAGGCACGACTAGAGTGCCAAGTGATTGTGGCCACAAATATCAATTGGAAATAAAAATGGAATTAAAACTGCCTCGACTGCCAAGTTTTATTTACGAAGTCAACACGTTAGCTTACGACGCAATCAGATTACTTCTTCTTCAATATAGGATAACTACGCATCGACACTGCTCCGTCATTTCCTTTGCTTTATTATGGCATATATATATATATAAGTTCATCGTTCTTAAAGTTAGATATCGAGTATTCAAATATGGTGCTTACTTCATTTTGCAAATTCTTCAAAAAAAGTGCATGGAACTAACTTCCAATGCAGTGCTTCCAAAATCTGTGTTTTCATATATATACATACATATATATATATATATCTATATATATGTAAACAAATAAAAAATTAATAAAGGTTTGAGGTGAAAATCTCACCAATTTAGAGGGAAAAAGAAATCTCTAAAACATTACTAAAGAAATTTCTACTTTTATTAAAATCAATGATCCACAGCTCCACATAAAAACTATTTCATTAACTGCAAAACTGATAATTTTAATACATTTGTAAAATTTTCCAAAATTAGTTTTGCAAAAATGATTTTAAATCTGCTATTTCTCAGTTTCAATACCAGGTCAAATTTGTACAACCAATCTCTAAAATTCTAACTTTTCTTAAAATTTAATATTTTTTAACTCTGTAGTTGAAACCTTATTATTTCCAGCTACATTTACATAAATATAGTAATCTTCTAAATTCCAAATAAAATTTTTAAGAAACGCAATATTTTTCAATAGTAGTCGCTTATAAACAATACTAAATCATTCAAAAAGGATACCTGGGATAAATCAACAAAATGATGAGCTTCTTGGGCAATTTTCGACCTAAATGTAGTGCCATCATCAGGGCTTAGAGCATAACAAAATATCTAAAAAACATGAGAAAATATAAATGAATATTACAAATACATAAAAATATTCCCATATAACTTGAAAACTTTTTTTAGATAATTATTTACAGAAATTTGTTTTTATATCAAGATGAGTTCCAGAGAAAGAAATTTTCTGGATGCAGAAACTACTTCACGTTAGTCAGGGTCAAGCGTCATTCATCGGATTCCCACTTTTACATCATGTTCAGTTTGAAAGCTATGAAGGCATACTAAATATACATATAAAGTCTGAGATCCGGCTTGTCGGGAATTTTGATGATTCTGAATTTTTGCATTTTTCTAGCCCTATTAGATCATCAGTTTAAATTTAGTACAATGACATAAAGAAATTATTAAAATAAAAAATATTTATGAAATAATGAAGCATTTATAACCTTAATAAAAAACTCAATATTTGTTTGTTTAATTAAGATACAATAACAAGCCGAACAAATATTAATTTAGAAGTCAAACAACAAAAATCAGCGTTATATTTTCAAAAGACTAGTTTCGATGGTTTTACTGAACCATTTGCGCTTTTGCAGCTGAGGATGATGGTTCAGTAAAATCGCAGCTAGTCCTGTGAAAATTTGATAATATAATGCTGATTTTGGTTGTTTGACTTCTAAATTGAATTGTTTGTATTAACATTGTTTTCAATGTAAGTTGTATAACTTGCTTTTTTTGTGCTAATACTTTCTTGTTAAGTTATAAAGTTAAATGGTCCAGGTGCAGTAACTGACACATCTAGAATTCTTAATAAAATGTCAATCGAAATTTTTTTCATTCTCATTAACCTCCCTGACACTTTCTCTTGGGAGTGATATTTTTCCCCCTCTTCATTTAAAATCATACTACAGATTTCAACATTCATTAGCTGAGGATCTGAGCACTGTCACTGTAATTAAAAAACTTCTGTTATATTATGAAGGATGTTTTTTAAGTAAGAGCTGCTTGAAAATAAAACATAAACGAGAGAAAATTTTCAAAAATCAAATTTATTTTCAGATACAGTCAAAAGTCTTTAATCCGGAATGATCTATAATCCGGACCTCAAAGCTACAAACTTTACACATGCGCATATGCGTCTACGCGCGCGTTTAATGTATAACGGACGGTATAAGCTAAGCTAAAATTATCTATTTCAGTTAATATTGCAGATTGCGTTCTTACTAAATCTTCTAATTGGATCCAGCTTATTATTTTTTGCAGACTGTTAGAGCAATTTTATAAAAGTAAGCTTGAACTTTCAATTATATCAAAAGAATTTCCGATTCTGGAGCTACCAAAGGATCTACAAAGCGAAAGCATGTTTCAATGTCCATCAAACAAAAAGTGGAATTGCTGCAAAAAATGAACAAAGGCATATATCCTTTGATTCTCTAACAATTCCGAAATATGTTTATCAATTTCAAGCTGCTCTGCAGGGGTGGGGGTGGGGACGACACGGTGCGGAATGAACTGGAAGTTAATCTGTCAGCACTAGCTTTATCTTCAGGGCAGATGCTTTTATTTTATTCGGCTTAAAATTCCTTACTAAATGTAGTATTTCATCTCGATGTACTCCGTGTTTGATATGATTTAAATCAAACTCCTCGTCATTATAAATATCACGAATACACATTAAATAGTTTTCTGGTTGCAATTTTCTATGCGTAATGTATGCTTACGCATGCGCGCGTTGAAATGTTTAACAAAATTTTGATACCTTTAGATCATAATTGCTCTTTATTTCATAAATTACGGTTTCATATTTTTAATTTTATAATTTCTGCATGCCCATTTTACCAGATTTAAACCGATGATCTATAATCCAGAAAAAATGATAATCCGGAATGGCTGAATTCCCGACATGTTCGGATTAAAGACTTTTGGCTGTACTACGTATGTTTCTCTATTTTTTAGCATAGTTGCCAAGTTTGTGTAAATACTCTTCATACATTAGAACTAGATTTTGAATAACCTCTTCAAAGAAACTTGCCGCCTGCTGCGATAACCAAGAGATCACAGCTGTTTTCGCGTCTTCGTCATCGTTGTAGTGGTTGCCGCTGAGACAATGTTTGAGATAGCGGAAAAGATGAAAATCACTCAGCACAAGGTCTGGGTTGTCTAAAACTTCCCAGCCAAGAGTCCAATAAAGCTCGGGTCTGTGCTATGGTGTGAGGCCCTGCATTTTCATGGAGTAGCAAAATTCCCTCCGTCAGCATATCACGTCTTTTGTTTTAGAGTTCGCTCTGTGTAGCTTTCGCAAGGTTTGGCAGTAGGCTACTGCATTTATGGTGGTTCTGCGTTGCATAAAGTCGACCAACAAAACACCATGCCGATTCCAAAACATGGATGCCACGATTTTTTGCTGGGACAGAGTCTGTTTGGCCTTAGCCGTTATAGGAGAGTTCGTCTCCACTCCATGCTCTGTCATTTCCATTCGGGCGTGACGTGCGAAACCCACGTTTCATCTCCTTTGTGATCCAAATCAACATGACGTCACCTTCTTCATTACAATGAGTAAAAAAATTCAGCGAATACTCAAATCTTTTGTTTTTGTGGTCGTCTAGTTAGGAGTTTAGGGACCCAACGGGCACACAGTTTCTTAAATCTTAATTTTCCAGAAAGAGTCTTGTACAATACTGATTTGGACAGATCAGGAAATTCATTTGAACGAATGCTTATGGTGAAGTGTCTGTTCTCAAGAATTTTCACTTCAACTAAAGCCACCATATTCGCAAATCTGCCAGTGAATGTCAGCAGCAGACAGGTTTCTTGCCGACAAAGAACGTTTCACTGACCGTACCTCACATGTGGCGGGCGATTCGATAATCTTGAACATTTTAAAGACAACTGTACAGGTCACCGACGTAGCTGCAATTAAGCACAGTTGTTTCCAAGGAATGCCTGGACATGATGCAAATACTCGTTGCGACGCATGCTCCACCTGTTAGCGCATACAACAAAACGGCCTTTACTTAAAAAACATACAACGTATTATTTATTACCATTTAACATTTCTTCAAAAATTCCATTTTTGTTTGCAATATCTGATTACTTTCAAATTCGTGAATATCATCATAAAGCTTTGCTAGTGTCTGCTATACAGTATTGCCAATGCATCGTGAAATTGGTGACTAATCACACATTGTTTCACTAAATTTTATCTTGCTTTTATTGCATGCTAACAAAGTTAAAGCCTGGGCTTATATTACTTATTTATTATACTTACCCCTATTTCCCACATATGCTTAAGACTTAGCCAAGTCCCAAATAAATTCACACACATATGCTTAAGGTTTATCCAGGGCAAGTGCTAAATATTTTGTTTGTGAAGTCTGCAGGTTTGAAATTCTGCTGCCAAGTACCTCGCTTAATTCTAAAAGTTTTGCTGCTCCTAAATTTTGTACTCTTGTGCATTCCATAAATTCTAAACATTTTGCTATCCCTCAATTGTGTTGCTCGGTGTTTCTCCAAATTCTAAAAATTTGCCTCCCCTAATTTCTGCCAGCAACTGTACCCATACCAATTCTGGCCTTATCAGAAAAACATACAGTTATTCTCAATTCAAACAGCACTAAATGTAATCTTTTAGCCTATGAGCATCATTTACATAATTTTCTGCACATGGAAAGAAATTTCTGCTAAATTTCTTAACAACACACTCAATACTTCACAGCTAAAATTTCTAATGATCACCAAACATAACATCAACATTAAGGATTACCATGCTCTTTAAAATTCAATTAATACTTAAAAAAAAAAAAAAAAAAAAAAAACTGATGTGGACAGCATGTCTTCCTTATACGGCCTATTAAATTATATACATTTTCCTGCACTTCATTTAAACTTATTTCCCAAAATTTCATTAGATATTTATGTCCAGGGCCGGATTTACATATAAGCTACAGAAGCTAAAGCTTAGTGGCCCCCCCCACACTTTCTTGGAAGACCCCCAAAAATTGAAATATAGTATAAATAGTATTAAAATATACAAGGGTCAGTTAAAAAGTTACTTGCACTGCCTAAGACAACAAAAGCACAAACTTTATTCATATATTAATGTTCCATTCAAAATCTACTTTTTAACGTGACGTCTGCTATTTAAGCATTTGTCGAGGCGTGGTACAAGTTTTTCAGTATCTTCTGCAAAGAAATCCCGTCCAATGTCTGATAACCTTTGTTGGGCTGCAGCTTTTGCTTCAGCATCCGAATGGTACTGTCACTTTGAAAGTTCTTGTTTCAAGAGACCAAACACATGGAAGTCAGGAGGTGAAAGTCTGGGCTATAAAGAGAGCGATTCCTCTTTACAGCCCAGACTTTCACCTCCTGACTTATACTTTTTCAGACCTATATTTCTTCCTGACCTGTATTTTCTTCCCACCTATACTTTTTCAAACACGTTGCATCATTTTGCGATAGCTTGATGTGACATTTAATTTTCACCATACACTTCAAGCAACTACCCATAAATTTCAGTACAGTTGCACCTTTTTGGTCACAAAAAAAAAAAAAAAAAAAAAAAAAAAAAAAACAAGAATCACTGCATGCATTTTTAATTTGGATGCTATTTGCAGCTGTTGAGATATATTTGCGACTGATTATCAGAAAAAACTAAACTTGCCTCAAAGAAGCCACATGTCTGAAGGGTTCCACACAGTATCATCCAAATAGTCTTAGACAAAACATATTTACGCAGTAGTGCAACAAACTTTCTGATTGACCTATGTATTATAACTTACTTATAAAGGGCCCCATATCTCAAATAACTTTAGGCCTTATGAAGTCTAAATCTGGCTCTGTATATGTCTCATTCAATCAATTCAGTTCTCATTTTGTGGCAAAAATACATAAAAACTCAAAACATCTTCATTAGAAATTGTAAAATTTAAAAAATAAAAATAAATAAAAAATAAGTAATATTTTTTTTTTTTTTCAATTAAAATTAGAAATGCTACACAAAAAGGGGAAATTTGATCAGTGAACACAAAGACAAAATTTTCGGTGCACAAAACTGAAAGTTAACTTTCGGTCCCACAAGGTAAAAAGACACTGAAGTTAATGCACCA